AGTGAGGGTAAGAGATTAGAAACACACCAAGAGCCAACGAGATAAGTTTTGTACAATTAGAGCGTGTATTTCAAGTGTGTATCTGTTATGTGTCGTGTAAGTCACGTGTCACGTCCTGTCTGATCGATCTGCTCTGTATGTCTGTCTCCAAGCCCACTGTGAGTAATAACTCTGTAAAGTTATGTTCAACTTAAGTATTTTCCGATTGGTATTGTATGATCTGCTTTCTGAAATGCTATCTTACAAATTATGTCTAATTTTCTGAAAAGTAATTGTGGCACCCTTAGTTCACGTGGCCTTCGTCGGGGGGTAACGATACCGTGGCCAATCTGCATGTGGCCCTCGCCCGGGGGTAACAATACCGTGGCCAATCTACACGTGGCCCTTGCTTGGGGGTAACAATACCATGGCTACTTGCGCATAAGTTATGGACCTTTGTGGTCATTGGTACCAACTATATATGTGGGTCTCTGGACCAATCTGATCTGATAGCTAAAGGGTATACCACGTATGATCTTATGCAAAATCTGAATATGAAATGTATATGAATCTGTTTCTGTTCGAAGTCTGATTATATTCTAATTTAAATACTGGATTCTAACTTGTGATGGACATCATTCATATAACCTTTTACTCTGTTATTATTCACTGGACTTTCGCTCACAGGTTATATTATGTATGTAGGTGAGCCGGCATATGACCAGGGCCAGAGTTGACGGCCTTTTGTACTGTTTTTGTCAGCCAATCGTTGTGCCTCCCGAGGAGGTTCCGATCGAAGTCTAACGCCAAGGCTGTTTTTGTATTTCTTGCTAGTCTCTGTAACTATTTGTAAAGTCAGATCTTGAGAAGTTCACTTTTGTAAATATTGTGTATCTGGACTGGCATGCTTATATATCTATAAATAAGTTTTAACATGTTCTGTCCCATGTACATTATCACAGCTCATTGGATCTTGTATATTTTACATTATTGCTTCCGCAGCCCCCTTAATATTTGTTAATCTGTTCAGAGGCCTTTGGTAATCCACGGATTACTGGCCGGTTACGGTACTAACCTATAGGGGCGGGTATGGATCGTGACATTAGGGCTTAGTCCCAAGGAGGACATGAGTTCAATTCTCCTTAGGGAGGTTGAATTAAGGGAGTGCAAGCACTTGGGTGCTTTGCCAAGTGTGGGGAGATTTTCTCCCATAGGTGCTAATCTAACAATTAACAACTAACATTTGCCGATAAAAAAAAAAATGTTTAAAATTTGAATAGATAAAAAAATTTAAACAGATAAGTGAAAAAATATAATAGATAATAAAATTTGGACATATATTTGAACAGATAAGTGCAAAAAATTTGAACAGACAGGGAGATTTTTTGAACAGGTAGTCAACAAAAGTCAATAGACAAAAAAAAGTTGACAGATAAATTAAGCGATAAAATTATAAATAAAATGTCTTTCAAAACTAACAAAAGTACTTTTCATCAAATTATTTCACAAATGGTAGATATTTCACCAATAAAAAAAAAATTCATTGAACTTAATGCCTTAGGCACTCTCTAAATTGAATTTATCACAAATTTACTCTAAAAACTATTCAATCCTACCTACTTTTTATTTTTTATTTTTTGAACAAAAATTTGAAATTATCAAATAATAAACAAACATCAATGTTATAAATAAAAAACAAACAATAATGTTACAAACTTTGAAATTTTATTCTGAAATATAGAATTTAAAATTATGAATTAAAAAGTATGATTTATATTATATTAAACTAGTGGTAAATCCGTGTCATGCATGGGATGTGAAAAAATTAAAAACATATTTTTATATGAAATAATATAAATAGTTAAATTTTTGCATGCAAACTATGAAAACAAAAACTATTGAAACCTACCATTGAAGTTCCACAATTTTACCACAATTTATGTATTAATTTTTAATTTGTCACAAATTTAATTATCTAATATTTACAAACTTGTTCAAGCTCAACTCAAACGACTCGAGTCAAGCTTGCAATTTTATGAACATCGGGCAACATAATTTTCAATTCGGTGAGAACTTATGTAAAAATTTAAAAATTTGAATTAAATTTAAGTATACTTAGGCGAAGACACCAAAAATAACTAAGCAACGGAAACAAAATTGTATATATAAATATATAAAATTATTGCTACTTTATTTTTTAAAATAATAAATAAAATTAATTAAAATTTTAATACTAATGAACAAAAGCAAAAGCAATATGCTTAAGTTTTTTCAATAGATTTTTTTTTTTTTGAAAATGTTTAAAAATACGCCTTTTAGAAAGGGATTATCGAATAAGTTGATATTAAAAAAATTATATTTTATAATGGAAAAAAAAATTTAATATGATTTTTCATAAATTATTTTTAATTTAAAAATTACAATAAAATGTTTAAATGGAATAAAAATAAATTTCTTATAAAATAAAAGTATCTGAATAAAAAAAAAAGGTAAGAAAAATATTTAGAATGGTATTCTCATTTAATCTGAAATTTCTAGATGAATAATAAATTATCACCTATAACCCTCATGTTGATCTAGCAAGTCACTTTTTAGCAATTTTAGCCAAAAAATATATTTACTTTTTATTTTAATTTATTTAATTGACAATTGAGATTAAAAACAAAATTAATAGGATTCACCATGTTTAGCAAGTGTTAAAAAGTCATGAACAATAAATTATCACGTATAACCTCCATTTTGTTTAATTGACAATTGAGATAAAAAAAAAAAAAAATATTGATTTCATTATAATTACAGTAACATAATTTGAAGAAAAATTTAAAATTTATTTTGTAATTCAATACAGGATGCATAATTTAATGAATGAATATTGATCTCATTTCAATTATAGTAATACAATTTAAGGAAGAATCCAAAGTTAAAATTTAATTTTAAGAATATAAAATTAATTTATAAACCAATCATATTGTGACTCATATTAATCAAAATTAAACAAAATCAAAAAATAAGAAAAAAGAATTACAACTTACAGTCTTATAAAGATAACAATGTTTTGTAGTTATAATAAATATATATATAAATAAATCATGGGATAAATTATTATTTGTAACTTATACATTATGAGATAAATCATTATAATTTTAAATTTAAGTTACAAATAGATTGCTTTTCATATTTAGTACCCCTTAAATTTAAATTTTAAAATGAATTTGTATATATATTTTTATTTTTTTATTTAATATACTTTACATTTAAAAGTTATAAATTAAGGAATATTATTTATTTATTTTATTTTTTACTTGAATGAAAATTCACCAATACAATTTTTTTAATTATTTAAAATAAAAAATAAAAAATTTTAGTTTGAGATATTAGAATTCTTACAAAATTTGTCATTAAAAACCCTTTTTACATATATGATATATAAATTTATATTTATATTATACATTAAAATTAAGTGTTTTTCTAAATAAAAATTAAATAAATTTTCTTAAATCTCATTAAAAAAAAAAGGATAAAACAATCTATTATTACATCTTCCTGTTAGTAAAAAATATTTGAAATATTTATTTTTTTATGATTAAAAATTAGTTTTAATAATATATTAAATTTTAATGGGTAAATTACATTGACACCCCTTAAAATTTATGTTTATTACAGTTCCTCCCTCACATTTTGGAAATTACATCCCATTCTCTGAGGTTTAAAGTTTCATTACAGATTGCTCCCTCCAATAATTTAATTTTTTTGAATACCAATTTTGCCTTCATTGGGTAAATTACATTGATATCCCTCACATTTTATAAATTACAATCCCCTCCCTAAGATTTAAAGTAGCATTACCAATTGCCCATCCTAAGGTTTGTATTTACATTGATAATCCCCTCCCAAAGATTTAAAATTGGGTAAATTACATTGACACCTCCTAAGGTTTGTATTTATTACAGTTTTCTCTCACCTTTTGAAAATTATGTCCCCTTCCAGAGATTTAAAGTTTCATTATAGATTGCTCCCTTCAGCAATTTAATTTTTTAAATACCAATTTTTAACACCCCTCACATTTTAGTTAGTATTAGTTGAAAAAAAAATAAAAAATTTCATTAAAAAAAAAAATTAATTGAAAAAAATTATTTGAAAAAAAATTGTGTTAGCCAAATTTGTAAATTTCTGTTTAAAAAACGACGTAAGATAAAAATTAAACTGACACCCCTTGAGGTTTATGCTTATTACACTCGAAAGATAAAAATTATATGAAAATGATAATTATTTTTTATTTCTTAACCAAATTAATTTTTAATTTTTTAAAAAAAATTCTAAAAATCAAACTATACATTGCCTAAATTTTTTTTGATAAGTCATTTATTACGTTGGTAACTTATTTAAGTATTTATTAATTTTACGATATTTTTACCATCTAAAACTTGTTTGGTAACCATTTCGTTTTCAGTTTTCAATTTATATCTACAAAAATTTTAAAAATTGTCATGAAAATTTATTTGATAATTTTTTTGGTTTATAAATGATTTTTTTAGTTTGTAAATTTGAGAAAAAAACGTAAATTCAAAAAATGAGTTTACGTTAGTTTTTAAACAGAAATTTAAAATTTTGACTAACAAATTTTTTTTCAAATGATTTTTGTTTCAATGAATTTTTTTTTTTCAACTAATACTAACCGAAGGGACAATTGTTAATGGTACTTTAAACATTAGAGAAGGGGATTGTAATTTCTAAAATGTGAGAGATGTCTATGTAATTTACCTAGTAAAGGTAAAATTGATATTTAAAAAATTAAATTACTAGAAGAAACAGTTTATAATGAAATTTTAAATCTTAAGAATGAGATATATTTTTCAAAATGTAAGAAAGAACTATAATAAATACAAACCTTCCAGGGTGTCAATGCAATTTACCCACTTTTAATTTGTTAAATATTTTATTAAAGAGAGAAAAACGCGGTTTCGAATCGACCACCGTTCCTTCTCTCTCTAAACTCTTCACAATAGTTGTTTCTCTCTCCTCTTTGACGTCTCTCTTCCCGAAACACAAACACTCACTCACTCTCTCTCTCTCTCTGACTCACTCACACTTTCTCTCTCTAGCGCACAGCTTGCAAACGTTCTTTCTCTCTCTAATCTCTCTCTTTGTCTGTCTTTCATGGTCTGGGATCTCGATAAACCCTAAAGTTTCAACACTGGTACTTCACTCACCACCATTACTGTTAACCCCAATCACAGATCAGATCTGTAAACATTGCTATTGCTACTCTTAAAGTTATGCAGTTTTAGGCAAATGGCCAGCTCCGACCCGACCAAACGTCCCCGACCCGGTCCATGGCCTCCCGCGCCGGAATCCACTGCATTGCCACCGTCTTCTTGGGCTAAGCGCACCGGCTTCCGCCCCAAATTCTCCGGCGAGACCAATGCCACCGATTCGGGCCAAATTGCGCCCCACCCCAAGCCCAGAGAGCCCGATTCCCAGCCCGATCTTGAATCGGGCCGAGCTCGGCCTGTTGCTCCGCCGCCGGCGAATGGTGAGCTGGAGGGAGAGAAGGTGACGGCGGCCGTGGCGGTGGAGAAGGATCAGCCGGTGAAGAGGAGGAGGGATTCGGACGGTGGAGCACCGAAGAGTTCGGGCCCAAATGGGCAGGCTACGGCGACGGTGGAGCCAACTCAGCCGCCGAGCCGGAGGCCGGTGAGGAGTGAGGAAGTTTTGGATGTATTGCCTCAAACAGTTAGTGATGATGGATTTGCCTCTCGTCACTCACATATGAAGTATGAACTCAGAGACACACCTGGTCTTGGTGAGCTTTTTTGGGTTACTTAATTAACTAATAATAATTTATTATTGGTTAATAGTGGGGAAAAAAGTTTGTGTTTTTATGTATAATCTTGTTGATCTCAAAATGGGTTTGTCAATGTTTTTGTGTATAATGTTTCAGTTCCAATTGGTCTATATGGATTCCAATATTATATATTACCAATATTAGGTTCATTGGATCTTATTCCGCTAATTTATTTATTATTAGTTATTAGTGAAAAAAATTGTGACTTGACTTTTGTTTATGTCTGACTTTGTTGATATCTAAATGGATTTCTAAAAGTTTGTGTAAAATGTTTCAGTTCCAATTGGCCTATATGGATTTCAACATTATATTTCAATGTTGGGTTCGTTGGTTCTTATTCCACTCGTCATAGTTCCAGCAATGGGTGGTACTTATGTGAGCACTTGTAATTTATTTCTTATTTGAATTCTGTATGGATTCACTCTTTATGTTGTATCATAAATTAGATGACTTGATCTCATCGAAATTAGTGGGTGTAGGAAGATACGGCTAATGTGGTCTCTACTGTGCTCTTTGTATCGGGAGTCACTACGCTTCTGCATACGTCGTTTGGATCAAGGTTGCCCCTTATACAGGGTCCATCATTTGTATATCTTGCTCCAGCACTTGCGATAATTAACTCTCCTGAGTTTCTGGGACTGAATGGAAATGTATGTTTCTAATCTTATCTTTTGATGTAGTTAACTTTGCCTGTCAATGTTTTTTCTTGTTTCTTTTTTAAAAGTAAAACTGTGATAACAGATGTTCCTTTAGTCATGGATCAAGGTATCTTGTTTGGTAGATGTAGACTAATAGATGTACTACTTAATAGTAAAAATTCTTGTGTTCATGTAGTTATTCACTAAAATTTTAGTACAACCTTAGAGGTATGGATGAATCATGACTGAAAATAGGCATAGCCAGGATTGAATGGTGAGAAAGATCAAGTAGTTGGAATTTGAGACATTTTAAGTCACATTGAGTTCCCGATAACACAAAAAAAAAAAAAAAAAAAAAAAAAAAAAGAAAAGAAAAGAAAAGTGATCGGTGGTGGCCATCTGTGGTTGTGATGGTTTGTGCGATGCCGTGAAATGGTGTCTCTTGGGTCTGCTAGCTTGTGGGTTAGGTGATGGTGGTCAATTGAGAGAGGGAGAGGGGTAGTGATGGCGGTTAGAATAGAGAGAGAGTGGGGAAAGGGTAGTGATGGTGGCCAGAAAGAAGTGAGAGAGAGAGAGAGAGAGAGAGAGATGGGAATTCGGTGGGATGGCAGAGATGCGGTGGTGCAATGTGATTTGGTGGTGCCTGGTGATGCAATTTTATGGTGGCTAATAGTTGGCAATAGTGGCTGAAGGGGAAAAGAAAGGGAGATGGCTTGTGGGTGTAGTGGTGGTGGCCATCTGTTTATGTGGTGTTGGTGGTTGGTGCAATGCAGTGTGGTGGTGTCTCTTTGGGTTAGAGAGAGAGAGGGAGGGGTAAAGCTTCTAGGTCGGAGATGGTGGTCAGTTGGAATTGAGGGGGAATGTTGCAGTAGAGATGACAAGAGAAAAAGGGCAGTTGTGTAATTTGGTGATATATTGGAGTAATTTATTATCACTTCTTACTTTCGTTTACATTACCATTCCTAGAGGGGATGTACATGCAATTTTTCCAAAATTATGGGTCTCATTATTGTATTCTCTCTATACCTCAGGAAAAGTCTTTAATTTGCCCAAAAAAAGGTCAAATAGAGTATTTGATATTGTGATTTTGATGTGTGTATAACACAGTTATCTGCTAATTTTTAAACATATACAGAGACACACGTAGAGTAATGAAAATTGTTTTGATTCGAATGTCTGTACACCCTTGTCCTTACTAAAAAATGGAAAAAGAATTCTCTACCGATCATACATATTAGATATCACGCATTCAAATTCCTAAAATGCAGTTTCTTTCTAGTATCATTACCATAATTATTCTATCTTCTTGTAGATTGTTTTAACAATCAAGACATTCATGGGTATAATTCGTAAATTGTCAAAGATGAAGGAAATTGTCCTTTGCCATGTGCTTTGGTTAAAATAACTCACTTTGACTTCACATGCTTTGTGCTGTATAACTCTAATTTTTTTTAAAATTTTTTTTGTTTGGGCAAACTTCACTTTACTCCTTGTGGTTTGGACCGGGTGCGGTTTACCCCCCTAACATTTGGATATCACCACATAACCCCTCTGTGGTTGATGGACTAAAACGCACAGTTAACTTTTCTGGTTAAGATAACAAAATGTGAAAGTCACGTGCCTCTATAGAGAGTGAGTTTGCTTTTATAACGAAAATACCCTTTCTATCTCTTCAAATTTACAAAAGATGCCATTCTCTCTCTCTCTCTCTCTCCTTCCCTCAAACCACCACCCATATCCATCGCACCACCACCGCAGCCCCTCCCCTCACATGCCATCCTTAAGCTTCCTCCCACATCAAATTGATTCATCCCCCAAATTATACTTTACACGCACACACACACACACATATCCAAAAAGTAGAGAATCCAGAAAACGTTTGTGATTATTATGGGAATCACTGAAGAGTTGCAATCTTTGTCTGTTGAAGCTAATTTCCAATTAAAAAAAAAAAATTTGAAGGAGTTGAGAGGGAGATAGATATTGTGTATCCTTGAAGAAGTTCCTTAGTGGCATTCTTCAAAATGGGCTCAAAAATTCTTAAAAGTGGTTGCAGGTGCACATTATTTATGAGACAAAGTTGAACACGGTAAAAGGTACAATGCAGAGTAAAAGATAAAGTCCACATTATTTTTTAGATCCGAACCCAGAAATGGAGAGAGAGAGAGAAGAAGAGAGAGAAGAAAAAGATGAAGATGGAGAGAGAAAGAACTGGGTTTCCCTTGAAATAATATATATATGAGGGTATAATTGTCAATATACAACTTCTGTTAGCAGAAGTTAGTGTGCGTTTTAATCCATCAACCACATGGGGTTATGTAGTGATATTCGAATGTCAGGGTAAACCACACCCGGCCTATGGTGTGGCCTAAATCATAAGGGGGTAAAGTAAAGTTTGCCCTTTTTGTTTTTGACACTTCGTCTTAAGATTCTTACTTGTATTTAACAACCTAAATAGAAAATCTTGAACCTTGACTGATGAGTTGGTGGTGGGCAATAGGGAAACCCAATTTATGAGTGGAGAGTGGAGACTTGACCTATTTTATTGTTGGCTGTTTGTGGAATTGCTCTTCATTTTTGCTTAGGGGTTGTTTGGGATGTCCTAAATAAGTGTACTTTTTGACTTTTTATGAAATATGGATTGGGTATGGGTTGGGTTTGAAGTGATGTGATAGAGAGGTGATGTGACTTAAATAAGATGATGTGACTTAAATAGAATAGTGACTTTTTGACTTTTTAGATTTTTTTGAGAATGCCAAACTTGGCCTTAGTACTTGAACCTTGACCTATAAGTAGTTTTTATGCTTGATTTTTCTTTGATTAAAGTTTACATTGCACGAGTAGGCAACATCCAGATATGGTCCATGATGGATAAATCACTGTTCCAATCAGCTTATGAAAAATTTAAACATATCACTGTGGTTGGTTGGTTGGTTGTCTGGGATATCACATTTTATTAACTACATGTAGCTGATGCTCTGGTTGGTTGTCTGGGATATCACACGTGAAAGTGTTTTTGAAGAAAAACAAGCTAAAGGAATGAATAGAAAAATAAAAAAGAGCAACCTTTCCCCAATCATTCGATTTATATGAGAGTTGAATAGAAATACAGGACACTTTAACTTTCATGTCATGCATAATTCAGTATAAATTGTAGTGTAAACATAAACATTGTCGAACTCTAGTTTTTTTTAATATAGTTTTGTTATATTTTCAAGGAAGTAGATCTAATAATAATCGTGCCTTTCAAGATCATCATTTTTAACTAAATTCTTTTTTCCTCAAAAAATTGGTTAATACTTTTTGTGAATTTTTGATCATGACTTGTGAAAAATTATTTACATTGCAGAATTTCAAGCATATTATGAAGGAGCTTCAGGGGGCTATAATTATATCTTCAGCTTTTCAGGCAATACTGGGGTATAGTGGACTGATGACACTATTTTTGAGGTATGAATTTCTTCTTCTTAAGTGATCTTTCTTTGGAAATTTTTTACTTCATCAGTTTGTGCATGTAATTCTGTTTCCCAAGGAAGAGGATTAATCTTGGAATCTAGATGATTTTTTGAAACATGGAGTTAATTCAATGTTTATTTCTGAAGAGCTGATTGGGTTAAAATATTGACTGAATTGTTTGTTGGTGTTTGTTGTGAAGAAACCTGATACATTTGTATGATTCTGTATGATACATTTTAAAATATTTGAAACTAGGTGCAAAGTTTTGTAGTTAGAATATAGTTGCTATAAACTTCAATTTCATGGTGACAAAATTGATGAAAATTGATAAAATAAGGCCTCGTTTGGAACTTGGCTATTTAGTTGGCTTTTTGGCTATTTTATGAGATGAAAAAAAGTATTGTTTGAGATTATTTGTGGATTTTTTTGTAGTTGAATAGATGGTTGTGAGAGAAAAAGTGATTAATTGATGTGTAGGATGTGACATTTTGTCTATGTTACACGGATTCTTCAAAATAAATCAAATACCTGTGTTGGACACCCGACACTCAAATAAGAGTATGCGATATGTGTCAGATACTTTTCAATGAATACTTCTTATATAATTGTATATAACATTATTATTATATGTACATATTGTCGTATAATTGCTATAAATATCTTTTTGACACTATAAGTTACAATACCATTTTATTTCATATACTTGATTAAAAATACAAAAATATGATTTTTTTTGTCGAATCTGTGCACCTTTAAATTTATAGTTTGATGGGTCTGACATCTAGATACATACCCCGTATCCGACACCTGTACCCGAGTCCATGTATCATAGCATTTCGTCTTATTGCCTATTTTAGTTCTTTTTTTTTGGGGGGGGGTCTTTATTTGTTATTTTAGCCAAAAAAGTTGTTTCCAAAAAGTTACTGGACTTCTAAAACAAGAATTAATTCAATACTTCGTTTTATACGTAGAGATTTATTTATTGGAGGTCCACTGGTGGTGCGATAGTAATAGCTCAGATTGCCAATTATAAGAACCTGGATCTGAGGACACCCTTAGTTATCAGTCAACTGCTACAATTGGAAATGGTATTTTTTATTTTATTTTATATTTTTTTTGTGTGTGATAAATGCAATTGGAAATGGTTCTTTCAAGTGAATCGAAAGCTTGAAATAGTAGTTCTATCCAACACTTAAGCTCAAGGTTCTGAAAAGCGGTTGCGGTCGGCGTAACGGTGGTGGTGGAGCGGTTGCGGTTGCGGTTGCGGTTGCGGTTGCGGTTGCGGTTGCGGTTGCGGGGTGTAAAGGCCGTAGCGTAACGGTTGCGGTAATCAGAACCGTGAATTTTTTTATTTTTCGCACAATTTGAAAAAAATTTACCGATACGCACATTTTTTTCCATGATCATATTTATTGGGTTTTAAAATAAATATTGATTAATTTTTATAAATTTTTTAGTTTGATCCAATATATTTATATTTTTAAATCATTACAAACTGAGTTTTTTACATTTTATTTTAATAATTAATGACTTTATATTATACAAAAAATCAATCACTAACTATTATATGTAAGATAAATAATGACAAAAGTAAGAGAATAAATAAAAGCCTAAATATATATATATATATATCTATATAACAAGGCACAAAAGTTTTTAAATTTGTCTTAGAGACAATTGTTCTATTAGGACATTTGAATGGTTAGGATTCATTTTTGACTGAAATGGACGGTAGAGATGAGAATCAACTCTGCCAATCTCCTTCAACTTCCCGCCTAAGAGCACATGTAAAAAATAAACCTAAAAATTTGCACCCACGATAGGCTCATCTGATCTCACTCTCTCTATATACTCTCATCTCTCTCTCTCTCCCAGTCTCACTTCCCAATTTTCAAATTTCAAAACACCCCTCTCTCTCTCTCTCTCTCTCACTCACTCACTCACAGCCTTACTTCCCATCACACCACCGGTACATCTCTCTCCCACGGCGATACATCTCTTCCCGACGATTGTCTCATGAACCAACCATAGTGGTGCTCATCACCTCCTCCAGTCACCTATTCCAGTGATCACCACCGCTGCTGCTCAGTCTACTGCATAACAAAGGGGATAAAGGTTGGTTATTTGATCTCTTAGATAGAGAGAGTAGGAGAAATGAGACAGAGAGAGAGAGTAGGGAAGATATATCTCATAGATAGAGAGAATGAGTGGTGGAAGATGAAGGGGAGAGAGAATGAGTTTCGATTTTTTGTTTTTTTTTTTTTTTTTTGTGTGTGTTCTGTTTGTGCCGAAGTAGTGGCAGCGAAGGAGGAAGGAAAGTAGACTTTGCTGTACATTAATCTCATTAATGAGTGAATGTAATTGCTTTGATAAAATTTGAAGTGACGCATTTTGTGCTTAAAATTGCTTTGGTAAAATTTGAGTGCATGTAATTGCTTAAGTGATTTAGTAAAGGTGGATTCGACAATGAAGGGCTACTGATTATGTGATTTAACAAAGTTATATTACAAATTTGGGTTTCAGTGTAGTGGTGGTGGTGTGTGTGTGGGGGAGGGGGAGGAGGAGCTTTGATGGGTATGGGTGGATTGGGCTCTGGATTTTGGACAACATCATGGCTGCCTCCTCTGCTATCCCTTTCTCCACAGTCAACCGAGATCATCGCAGCAACCTACGCTCATCACTGCCTCTAACAACCTCCCCTCCATTTAGATTGTCATTGCCAGTTCCATCGCCGCCACCGACACTTGCGATCCCCAACACAATCAAATGATGGGTTCAAGTTGCTTGGGAGTTGTTTGAGCAAATTATGTGAATGAGACTTGGTTGCTATTAGATCTCTGAGAGGAGAGTTTGCCAAGAGATGAGATGTGATGATGAGAAAGAGAGACGTTTCTATAGAGATGAGAGAGAGAAAGTAGGGAAGATGGAGAGAGAGAATGATGAATGAGAGATAGTAGAGAGAGTTAGAAACAGAGAGAATGAGAGTGAGTGGGAGAAGCTGTCGGCGTCAAAGTGACACCACCGTGTAAGCCGTGCAAACATGGAATGAGAAATATCACTTTGATATAAAATTATTGGGTGTGGTTGTCTACCACCTCACTCTTTTTGTTTTGTCTTTTTTTTTTTTTTTTTAATGTGTTAATACTTTGAGATAAAATTATTGGGTGTGGCTGTCTACCACCTCACTCTTTTTGTTTTGTCTTCTTCTTTTTTCTTTTTTTTTTTAATGTATTATTTATAATAATTTGAATTGAAATACTCAAAATACATAAAATCACATAAATCATGCAAAATTATAAAATTTTATTTTAAATTCGTAAAAATTATTTTTAAAATTTTTAAGCGTAAATTTTATAGCATTACTCTAAATTTTATAATTTTTAAGTGTATTCAGATTTAATGAATCTGAAAAATAAAAAATTTTGATTAAAATATTTTTAAAAATTTATTAAAAATAATAAAATTCAAATTGTAAATTTTAAAAACTATTTTTGAAAATTTCAAAACTAAATATGTTTTGGATTTTAAATTTGTAAAAATTATTTTCAAAATATACAACCAAATAAAATGTCAAGTTTGATAAATTCTTTTCAAAAACATAATTATAAAATTTATTTGAAAATTCAAATCAAATGGATAATCTATTTATATTTTGACCTCAAATTTTGTTTTTTGTTTTTTTACAACAAATTAGCTAAATTACATTTTAATTCAATATTTTTATATTAAGTATATTTTAATCTCAAAATTACTTTCACTGTGTACAGGCATGCACTAGAGTATTCCGGGACTTCTGGATACATAGCTCTTGAATAGGCAAGTTTGATTTATTTAGAGCATAAATTTGTTCAAATTATAAAACAATAGCTGAGATATATTTTTTTGAAAAATATTCTATGCTTATATTTTCCACTTTCTCGCTTCTCTCTCTTTCTTTGTTCTTTTCTCACAAATCCTCCCATAATCTCATGAATAATCTCATGAATGATCTCATGATCCTACCTTCCTCTCTCTTTTCTTTTTATTTTTTTTACTTCCCCCCTTTTCCTTTTTGTTTATTTATTTTTATTTTTATTTTTATAATATTATAACTACATTTTAATCTTAATATTATTTACACCGTGCCTTTATCTCTCAGTTTGTTTTTTTATTTTTGGCTGTATATGGTTTTTCTTGGACGGGGCTTTGTGAGTGTAAAAGAATATATTATTTATGGGGTAAAGAGAGCAATACAAGTATGCAATAGAACACAAGACTTTCAAAGATAAAAAAGAAAAGAAAAGAAAAAAAAAAAGAGTTACTTAGTAATTATCACCTTCAAATTAAAATAATATTATCCGAAATATTTTTTTTATATATATTTTTTTATTTCACTATTTTATTTTTTTTTGGTGAAATAAAATATAGGACTTTTCTTTTTTTCTTTTTTTTCTTTTAGCAAACATTATAAATTTTGTATGTTTATTTCTTAATTTATGTCAAGGCTAAGGAGAGTTATATAAATAAAATTATTAAAAGTTCTTTAAGAAAAATAATATTTTTTTAGTGTCTTTATTAAAAAATACTACACACTTCACTTATTTTAATATAATACGTAGAAATTAAGATTATATTTTGATCTCAATATTATGGGGTGTTTTGGGAAGATGATTAAAAGTTACTTTTTGACTTTTTTTTGGTTTTTTCTTTTTGAGAGATGGAAGTGGGTTAAAAGCTGAGAAGTGGCTTTTAATCCACTTACTCACTTCTCAAAATAGCCCTATTTGTACCGTACTGGTACCTTTCTTTTTGTGAGTTTTGTTTCGAAGAGAAAGTTTTGCAAAATCCTTTCTCATTCTAACATCAAACTTGAGCAACAATGGTGAAATTTGAGGGACGGACAAAGGCATGGGAGGGGAAATCTCTTCCCAAGAAAAACAAATAAAAAGAAAAGGGAAAGAGAAGATTGATGAGATAAGGAAAAAAGTGAGAGGCAACCCACATGGATTTGGTTAATTTATTTTGGGTGATATTATCTTTTTATTTATTTTATATGTTTTTTCAAGAAAGTTAAAAGTTAATATTTAATCAATTTCTCAAAACCACTCAAAGTATATGGTAATATCACTCTAAAATTTTGTAACATAAATATTAAAATGATATAATATGTTTTCATTACAAATACATATTTTGTTGGGTGGTAACTCTATCATAATAACAATAAATAACTCTCTCATAATAACAATATTAGGTAATTAAGAATGAAATTTAATCAATTGAGTTTAAAAGGCACGAAATTTAATAATTTAATCAATTGAGTTTAATAAGGGTTGGTTTGGCAAGGGCTCATTGGGCTTTTTTGGCTCAATGAGCCATAAAAGACAGAATAGGCTCATGAGCCACAACAGACAAAACATCCCATTCAACCCCATAATCATTACATTATTCTCTCACAAAAAAATCAAAAAAGCCAAAAAGCCAAAAGTCCTTCCCAAACCAAGCTTTTGAGTCCAGGCTCATATAGTCAAAAAAGCCAAAAAGCCAACTCACTTCCCAAACGGAGGCTAACAATATTAAGTGATTCCGAATGGAACATAATTTAATTAATTTCAGTTTTTTAGATAAATCATATTTATTTATAACCAAAATAATATTTCTTTATATTTTTTTAATATTTGTATCAAAAAATATTACAGACTCCATAAATTTTTAATATATAAATTACAATTATATTTTAATTCTAACAATATTTATACAGTGCCTTTAGGCACGGGCATATACTAGTATATATATATTAATCAAGCCAAATAGATAATGACTACACTTATTATTATTATCTAAGAAGCACGGACACTTCTAAGAAGGTGACGTATCCGTGTCATGTCCGTGTCGGACACTGACACTCTTTGGACACTCTTAGGACACGTGTCCGATACTCTTCAAAACGTGTCCTATTTTTTAAATATTTTTAAAGACCCGGACACTCTTTGGACACTTGGAGGACACACGTGTCAATTGTTTAAACACATGTGTCTGTTGATTATACATATGTGAAACTAATTATAAGTTTGAACAAAACAACTTAAGATACAATAATAAAACAAAAAGCATATAAATTTATAGGAATTAGTGCTATATTGCATTTTTTATTATCTTTGAATGATATATTCATATATATAACATATAATAAATATATAAAATTATATATTTCATGCGTGTCCTCCACGTGTCGTGTCCTACATTTTTTTAAAATTAACGTGTCGGCGTGTCCGTATCGTATTCGTGTCGTGTCACGTGTCCGTGTCCATGCTTCTTAGATTATTATTATTATTATTATCAAACAATATATAGATAGACACACACAAACAAAATGGTTGAGTGATAGTAGCTGAATATAATAGTATAAGCAAGGTTTTAAAAAGCGGCCGCAGCCGTTACGTAACGGTTGTGGTCGTTACCGCCACCCGTTACGGCCGCTTTTGCGGTGTGATTGAGATTCATAGGTGTATCGGCCGTTACGGCCGTCGTAGCGGCCGTAGTGGCCGTAATGCCCGTTACGCACCGTTACGCTCTTTTATTAGCTAATTCTTTTCACAAAAAAAAAAAAGCAAAAGAAAAGGCTGAAAAACTATGGATGCTGTTGTACATACCTTTATTATGATTGAACAGATTTTGTCTTTTCTCTTTTTAGCTTGTGAAAAACTTTGAGGTGAGAATGCATCCACAAATTTTCCTCTTTTCAGAATATATCCACAAATTTTCAAATCTTCAGATTTACAAATTTTCAACCATCTAGTTTCTGATCAAAAAATAAAAAAGAGTGGCTCATGGGAAGATGAAGACAGAGAGAAGAGGAAATACAGATGAGTGAGAGATAGAGAGAGAGAGAGAGAAGAGAGAGAAGAGGGAATAGATGAACCTGTGTTGAAGTCTTCAAGGCTGCCTCGGTGTTGAAGACGAAGAACAAACTTGTAAGGATCAAACTAAAAAATTTATAAAAATTAATCAATATTTATTTTAAAACTCAATAAATATGATCATGGAAAAAAAATGTGCGTATCGGTAAATTTTTTTCAAATTGTGCGAAAAATAAAAAAATTAACGGTTCCGGTTACCGCAACCGTTACGCTACGGCCTTTACACCCCGCAACCGCAACCGCTTCACCGCCACCGTTACGGCGACCGCAACTGTTTTTCAGAACCTTGAGTATAAGCCTTACAGTTTCAACAAATTAATAACATGTTCTTCATCTTCCCTCTTCTCTCTCTCTATCTCTTGTTCCTCCATCTTCCCTTTTCTCTCTCTATCTCTCTTCCCCATTTTCAACTTTTTTTTTTCTTCGAAAAAAGCAATTCGGAACCGTTACGTAACAGTGCGTAATAGGCCGTTACGGCACTGTTACGACCGCTATAGCAACCGCTCCAGCCGATACACCTGTAAATCTCAATCACACCGCAAAAGCGGCCGTAACGGGTGGCGGTAACGACCACAACCGTTACGTAACGGTTGCGGCCGCTTTTTAAAACCTTGCTTAAGCTTGATAAATGGGCTGTTGGTTATGTCCTTATTCTAGTTAGACTCTAAAGTCATCTATGAAATGTGTTTGTCAAATCAATGGATTATATACAGAGATATAAAGGTTGTTGGTTGCCTTCTAATTTTGCTTTTACCAATACTCTAAAATTAGGAACTTTGACCCTTGAAAGCACTATGAACATAATATAATTGTCTCAGAAAGGCCTAAGAACATTATTTTCCAGCTAGAAAGGAAAAATTCATTGGCTAGTACTACAACCTAGGCCCACAAAATATGAAGTTTCTGGGATACATTTGTTTTAGGAATCAATAATGGAAATGAAAAACAAACTGAATGTAGGACAACTATAAGAAGTTGCCTAATTTTAGCTTTGAGGGGTTTAGTCCGTGAGGTTATAAACTGTAGGAGTAAGTTTTGAGGTTATAAACGGGCAGTTCACTCAAATGCCAAAAAGCTGCTAAAATAGCCAATTCTCAAATGAGCCCAAGTTGAGAACAATATCCAAATTATGTATGCAAAGATGAAATGCTGCACCCTTGCAAGGGTTTGGCAAATTTATACATTTACAATCTCAAATCCTCATAACTCAAATTCTCTATTGAAAATAAAAATTACATATATATTTATAGTCTGCCAAACTTGTTCACTATTTGGATTTACTATTTACAAGTGCTTTGACTCATAAATAGGAAACTAGTATACCTTTACTAATTAGGAAATTTACGGCCTATTAACTGTATATATGACTCAAAAACATAACTTGATTCATATTATGATTCATAGATTACCCACTGCAACCTATGTCTAGCAAAGTACACAGTTACTAACAACCTAGTTTATGCAAGGTTCACATCAAGTTTTCATTGTAGTCATTAAATTTTTGCTGGGAGTCTTGTAATTGTATCGTTGTGTTTCTTATTTTAGATTGTTTATTTATTTATTTTTGTATTTTAGTGATGGTAGGGTAGTTTATATGTAAATTATCTGTTATTAGGGTTGTGTAAGGCTTATAAAATGGCCTCTTAGGGGCAAGAAGAATTTTTGTATTTTATTGTATTTAGCTTTTGTTTTCCAGTTTTAGTGATGGAATCTTGGGACTTTAAATTGTTGCCATAATGGGTATGGGTAGTTTATGCTGTAATTATGTTATTAGGGGTTTGTAAGGTTAGTAAAACGGTCTCTTATTAGGGTTTGGGAGAATGAATTAAAATTGAATATTTGGAACTGTTTTACTTTTTTTGTCTGTCTCTACTCTTCTCTGTTCGTTATCTCCTCTCTATCGTTCTTGTAGTTTTTTTGCCTTTTATCTACCTCTATCAATATCTTCTCCCTATGTTCTTTTTCTTGTTCTTTCGTCTCTACTACATTGTATCACATAATTACTTGAACAAAGTTAGTACACATTTGCCCACTGCATGTTCAACAAAATTCTCGTGAAGACCAGGCTAAATCAGTTTATGCCGTTTGTTTTAATGTAGCTCATTTGTTGTCCAATTACAACATTTACGATGAGGCTTTGATGCACAATATGCCTTTTAACTCATCCATGCTTTATTTGTCCTACCTTTCCAGGTTGATTAATCCAGTTGTTGTGGCCCCAACTATTGCTGCTGTTGGACTTTCTTTCTACAGTTATGGTTTTCCACGAGTTGGTACATGTCTTGAGATTGGTGCAGTGCAGATATTACTGGTTATTATTTTCTCTCTTGTAAGTTCAGAGGCGACCTTTCATTTCTGACTCCTTACAAGTGTTTTTGTTCTCATGCTTCGTCATCTTAGTTTACCTGATATTGCTGCCTGGAAATGTGATAACTCATTATTTCTTTGGATTTGGATCTTGTCCCACTATTTCTATGACTTTTCTTTCCTAAATTTCCTGCAGTACCTTCGAAAGATATCCGTTCTTGGTCATCGTGTATTTCTCATATATGCGGTAAGTTATCATATTCATATTACTTTTGATTCTGCTTATTACTTTCGATTTTCCACAATTTTTACATTATATTCCTACTTCTATGAGCCTAAATTTGTTGTTTTTATCTTATGTCCAGGTTCCGTTGGGTCTTGCAATCACATGGGCTGCTGCTTTTCTTCTGACTGAAGCAGGAGCCTATAGTTACAAAGGTTGTGATGTAAATGTACCAGTGTCAAATATAATATCGGAGCACTGCAGAAATCATATTTCCAGGATGAAGCAATGTCGAGTTGATACTTCTCAGGCATTAAAATCTGCCCCATGGTTTAGATTTCCTTACCCACTACAATGGGGTACACCTGTCTTCCAGTGGAAAATGGCTCTTGTTATGTGTGTGGTGTCGTTGATATCATCAGTGGATTCGGTAAGTTCCTTTTCATTTACCAAGGAGCCATGAGTCAACAGTCGGTTTAGAAGTGAATTTTATATGAACAACAGTGAGTTTTACATCACTTTTTTTGTCTTTAAATTGGTCAAATATAATAACCATTATACAAATGATTATTGTGTTTGTCCCCTGCAACTTTTCCTTTTTTTTCTATGCTGAAAAAACCTTGATTCAATTTGTAGTCTCATGTAACATCTTTTGGATTGTCCGAGAAGTCAGTATGTTGGTCAGAAAATTTTAAGGCTGTGTTTGGATAGATTTTCAAACTATAATTCCACCCGTACATTCCAATGCCATGTTTGGATACATCTTTCAAATTACAACCAAAAAAAAAACTCTGCAAAAAATTCTGTGTCGGGCGGGATTTTTTTTTTTTTTGAAATTTGGCTTAACTGGTCGTCCGACCAGTTGACCGGGTCAACTGGAACAGGGCAACCTTTTTTTTTTGCAATTGGCACTTGTTTTTTTCTTTCTTATTTATTTATTTATAATAAAACAATATTTTCGGAATTTTTAAAATTTTTTTATGATCATTTAATAGATTTTTGAGTTGCATGTTTGGTTATGAGTTATAAGTTTTTGTATCAGATATCATGTCACATCAAAAATTCTCCACTCAATTCAAAACTTTTTTCAACGCATAACCAAACAAATTTTTTACACTCAAATCATAATTCCAAAACACACAAACTCAAAATACAACTCTATTCTCAAATCATATTTTCAAAACTTTTCCAAACACTACCTGAGTCTCTTTGAAGTTAGTTTAAGAGCATATTTGATGCCTTATTTATCAAAAAAAAGAAAAAAAGAAAAAAGAAAGGGCATATTTGATGTCTTGGTTAGGAATGGCAACGGGGCGGGGTGGGGCCGGGGATCACACCCCCTGTCCCCGATCCCCGAGGGTACAAATTCCCCCGTCCCCGATCCCCGACGGGGAACTTATCGCCATCCCCGCCCCCGTCCCCTAACGGGGATCAGGGTTCCCCAGCCCTGAAAATTTCCCGGCTAAGAAAAAAAAAAAAAAAAAAAGAAGAGAAGATCTAAATCCAACACACAGATCCAAAACACACTATTCAACAAATCCAAAACATAGATCCAAAACACACTATTCAACAAATCTAACACTATTCAAATCTAAAAATTTGTGAGCTGAAATGTCTAAAAAAAAACATTTAGATATGGTAAAAAAAAAAAAGAAAAGATTTGAATCCATATATATAAAGATAAAATCATAGGTCTGTTAAAAAAATCATAATATATATATATATATATATAGATGAAAGGATGTTCTTGCTTCTTCAATGGCTTGCTTCAGATGCAAGGATGTGCTTCAATCATTATAGATCTACTTCAATCATCATAGATCTGCTTGCTTCAGATGCTTCTTCAATGGCTTGTAAGTTGTAACAGAGAAACTTTGAGTGAGAGGGAGGGAGAGAGAGAGATGAGAGACGGTGAGGACGACAGAGAGATCAGAGACGGTGAGTGAGTGCGAGGGAGAGAGAGATGGGAGGGAAGAGAGAGAGAGATTAGATGTGAAATGAAAAACAAATGAAATAAAAGAGAGAGAGAGAGAGAGAGAAACAGTATAGAAAGTATATATAATATATATATATTGCTTCGGGGGCAACCGGGGCCGGGGCCGGAGATTGTACACTTATCACTGTCCCTGGCCCGAAATTGATCGGGGATTGATTTTTGAATACCATCCCCGGCCCATCGGGAGTATTTTTCGGAGAAAGACCGTTCAAATCGGGATCGGGGGATCGGGTCCCCGTCGGGTCGGTTTCAAATTGCCATCCCTAGTCTTGGTGTATCAAAAAAAATGATACATCAGGTTTTATTATTTTTTGTGGTGATGTCTCCATTTTTCTGTTGAAGTTCCAGCAATGGGTGAATTTGTGTCTTGAAATGGAGAGTAACTTGGAAATTGGAATGAATGTGCAAAACTCCCTAAATACTTTGATATTATCCACTGCAAGGAAAAGTATGCAAGTATAAACATGGTCATACCTGATGTCAATAAAACAACAATGTGTCGCATGCTTTCTTAGAAATTTTAGTGATTTTATCACGTTTTGTGGCCCCTCATATGATTCTTTGACTGAAAACATGTGTAATGCGAGGTTTGAGTGAAAAGCATGCTAGAGCAGGTTCTCTATTAGTTCAAAATACAGTCTGCCATGTGATAATTAATAGAAGCAGAAGATATAAAAGTTGAGGTTATTAAATATTATCTGCTTTTAGCTTGATTGACCAACTCCCTCCCTCACATATGTAACCTATTATAAGTTTTTTTAATTATTTGTTATTGACAGCAGAAAATAATTTTATTAAAGAAAAAAGTGAAAAGAGTACAAGAGAAAAAGGAGGACTAGTCCACCAAGAACGAAAGGGGTAAAGATCAAAATTACAAGTCACTTACAATGCTCCAATCCCTAAGACTAATAATTAATAAAGGGATCCCTCTAAAAGGAGATGACATTGAAACCCGAAAAGATGATAAATAACAAATCTTCCCTATACGTCATCTAATTATCACTCTTATCCTAAAAGGCAACCCCTCTTCTCTATCCTACCTCACCTGCCATGCAGAGTGGGAGCATTTCAGATTCTTCCGAATTCCAAGTATAAATTCATATCGAAGAGTTCTTCAAACCATATCACCTAATGTACAACACAAATCACACAATTGACCTGAGAGTCGTACTCATTAACCTGAATCTGAATCTCATACTTGCTCTTAATGACAGAATGCCATAAAGAGTTGTGCTCAATAGGAAATCTTCATATCCCAACTAATCTAGTGATCTTTCTTCTCCTTATTGCTACCCTAAAACAAAAAATCTCTCATAATCTTTTCAGTTTTATTCACTACTCCCACCAGAATCTTAAGCATAGATTAGATCACTATTGATTATCTACTATCAAACCAAGGTAGTGCGTCCTCAAGACATTAGTAGCGATTATAGATTATTAACATATATACTAATGACTAGTAAGTCAACATTAGGTTATATAATGTTATAAATTAGATTGCATGATTGTTTTTTAGCTTTTATTTTATTAAATTTTTTTTATCATGATTAACATCTTTGAAGAAAATTAAACACCTTGTTTGGTTTTCAGTTTTCAAAAATAGTTTTCTGAACGTATTTTTATATTTTTAATAAACCAAACCAAACTAAACCAAACCTTAAGTCCCATCAAATGGGTCGGCTACATGAATCCTTCTTCTCCACGCGACCCTATCAAAGGCTATTTCATTAGTCAAATTAAGTAGATTCATATCTCTATTTACAATGCTGACCAACGTTAATCTAGGCCTACCCCGTCCCCTAACACTTCCATTTACTGTTACAGTATCGCATCTCTTCACTACTGTCTTTGTTGGTCTCCGTTGAATATGACTAAACCATTTCAATCGATTCTTTCTCAACTTATCTTCTATCGGTGCTACTCTTACCCATTTCCGAATACACTCAATCCTAATTCACTTAATCTTAATATACTTAAAAAGTAAAAAATTTGTACAAAAATCAATAAAAAATTCATTGAATACAACAAAATATGAAAATGTATTGAATTTTCATATTTTTTGAATTTGGTAAATTTTTTTAAAAAATTTCACAAATATTGTACTTTTAAGTGTATTTAGATCAGGTGTATCTAAAAAACTAAAATTTTGCGTAAAATATTTAAAAGTTTGACTAGAAAAAAACACAGAAAAACTCAATTTTTTGAAAAGTGGACTCAATTTTCTAAAACCAAACACGGTGAAAATTTTGCTGATTCTAATCACCTTGCTTGGTTATCATTTTTTAAAAACACTTTTTAGAAAATTCTACTTTCTTATTTTTCGTATTTTTTTGTTTTTACTGATTTTTTTTAATATTTTAAACAATTTTTTTAGTTTTTAGACATACCTAACATAAATATACCTAAAAAGTAAAAAAATTTTGAAAAAAACTTTTTAGAAATTCACTAAATACCAAAAATACAAAAAAAATACGAGAATTCAGTACATTTTTTACATTTTTATGTATTTATTAATTTTTTAAAATATTTTTTCCCAAATTTTTTACTTTTTGGATACATCTAAGTAAGATGCATCTAAAAAAGTAAAAAAAAATGTTTAAAATTTTAAAAATATTCACTAAAAACAAAAAAACACAAAAATCAAAAAATTCAGTTTTCATAAAACTTAATCCAGAAAACTCAAACCAAACGCACTGAATATGTTTCTGTTGCATTTCATTGTGAAGTGCTTCATATTTGATATTTTAAGTAATCTAGAATTACTATTCAAATCCCGAATGGCTGATTGTTTGTTGCGATGCTCCACAGGTTGGCTCATACCACGCAGCATCCTTGTTGGTAGCATCCAGACCTCCGACTCCAGGTGTTTTAAGTCGAGGAATTGGTCTTGAAGGTCTTTCTAGTATATTGGCTGGTCTTTGGGGAACAGGAACTGGGTCCACAACTTTAACTGAAAATGTGCACACTATTGCTGTGACTAAAATGGGAAGCCGCAGGGCAGTTGAGTTGGGTGCAATCATGTTGATTGTCTTATCCCTTGTAGGTATGTATTTTTTAAAGTGGCTATTAACAAATTTTTCTTAGAGTTCATGACTACTGAACAATGAAATCTTTTTTCGTGGTGGCAAAGACATGTTACGTGTTGATATGTGCACCATAATATTAATTAATCACATTGGAAAGTTTATATTCTGTTAAGCAGAAAATGATCTGATTACTCGCAACAAAAATAAAAATAAAAAAAATTTGCCAGTTGACGATTTCTTTATGTTCCATTTGAGGTCAGATTCTTTCAATTTACTTTTAAGCAGCTCCCGCACTTGCACCATACAATGCTCTGGTTCTTTGGAAAGTTATTGTTGAATTCTTGAGTTATTGCCATTAGTTGATTTGTTTTATATACTGAATCAATAAAAGCGGCATAATGTATGCCAAGATATCATATACTTGGGGACTTCAACGGATAAGTAATTTTTTAAATATCATTCCATAATTTCCAATTCTAATTAGGGTTTAATTACGTGTTTACATAAGACATCATTTCTCACCATTGATGAATGATTTGCAAGTGAAACGCTAAGTATTTTAGGACCTATGACCTTGTCAATGTTTGAATAAAATTAATGAATTATGTAGTAGAAATTCCTTTTTTTTTAATTGCATAAAATTAAAATGAATTGAATAAAGGACAAAACAGCCTATCGCAAATGAAACCCTGATCATGTCAGCTAGCAAAAGATTCTGCAACTCTCTAAGAGGAGGTTGGAGGATGACCATTTCTTCCATAGCCTACACTCCCTGGTTAGCTAAGAGGTCTGCGGAATTGTTCCCATCTGAGCATGTGACCATTTCTAGCATGACTTTGTATTTAACAATTCTGGATTGCATTTTTGTTAAACACAAAAAAAGAATAAATACACCCATATATTTATATGAAGCATGATATGGATATAAATCTGTAAGGTTTTAAGTTCCACGTAATGGCTATGTGGTATGCAGTCATATAACAAACAGTGTACTCAAGCTTTGTTTGATATAAGAGACAAACAACTGTGCTCAGTTTCTAAGTTGATAGACAACTTTTATTTATTTATTTACTGAAGACAAAATAGAGCATTTAATTTTTCATCCCTGTGACCCTAATGTACATAGTACTTTTTGAAAAATTGTTTGAAACTTATTTTTCTAAAAACATTGCTGATAGATTGTGCACATTTCATATGGATGTGTATCGTATCATCCTAGGGCCTATGCATCATATGGTTGCATTTTCATATAATTAAATCGAAATGCAATACAGATTGGAGTTATGTGGTGTCATAAATAGCCCCGTAATGTCTAGGAGTTTTCTTGTGTTGGATATGTACGCCTACATTTTTTGGATACCTAGAAATGTCCTACACTTAATGGGGCATAGTTTGAAATTGAATTTATGACACTTTAACGACACATCATTGGCACTTTTCAAACACTCCCCAACATGGCCTATGTGGTGAATATGTTAATGAGAATAATAGCTAGTACTCTTGGGAATGCAAAACACAACAAATGTGTCTTGATAATTTTCTAGTTGTCATAAGGGGTTCTTAGAGCCCTCTTCTCATGTCTTTCTCAAGTTATATTGCTTTGCTAATGTACTGAATCTTGTTTTTACTGTGCTGACAGGTAAAGTTGGAGGGTTTATTGCTTCAATTCCTGAAGTCATGGTTGCAGCTCTACTGTGCTTTATGTGGGCAATGCTTACAGCATTGGGCTTGTCAAATCTACGTTATAGTGAGGCAGGAAGCTCTAGGAACATTATCATAGTTGGGTTGTCTTTATTTTTTTCCCTTTCAATACCAGCCTACTTTCAGCAATATGGCATTTCTCCAAATACCAATTTGTCCGTTCCAAGTTATTTTCAGCCATACATTGTGGCATCTCACGGTCCTTTTCGCACTAAATATGGAGGGGTATGCATCTCACTGACTTCTATCATTTCAATTTTGGCAAAAAATGATAGAATTTATTTATTTTCTTTTTGCAGCTGAACTATGTCGTGAACACAGTACTGTCATTTCACATGGTGATTGCACTTTTAATAGCCATAATCCTGGATAACACCGTACCGGGTAGTCGGCAGGAACGTGGTGCTTATGTTTGGTCTGAACCCGAGGCTGCAAGACGGGAGCCTGCTGTTGCCAAAGACTACGAGTTGCCCTTCAGAGTTGGGCGAGTTTTCAGATGGGTGAAATGGGTTGGGCTTTGAGACATGAGGTTCTTTTTTTTCTTAATTCTTTTTTTTTTTTTTTTGGGTTAGCCATTGTTGGATTGTCAATTAAGCTCATCAAAAGCTGTTTCTTGGTAGATTGTGTCGTGTTGTGATTCTAAATTAATTAAGCTTAGCTCATATAGTAAAATCGACCTCTGTAAACTGTTTTATTCTTTTTCTTTTCCCTTTTTTTGTTCATCTTCCCGTCTTGGACGGTGGGTCAATAGATCTCATAGGGATGAGTTATTTTGTGTACATTGGAGGATATTTTGTGGGTGGGGTTTTGGGGTAAACTACTTTGTGTTGTAATTCTAAAATTGTAAACCATGTATGTAGTTTTGAGTCATTGAGAGTGACCATACGGACCATTTTTACTTGCATGTCGACCCGGCAACCCTTGAGAAACGGCCAGTCATAATATTTTTATTTGATTTTACCAGTCATCTATATTTGGGAAGTGTTTAGATTATTAATGAAAACATAGTTGTTGATAGTAAAGAGGCAAAGACCTTAAAAGTGGAATGCCGTGTTTTGTGATATGCATTTACATTTTCATTTTTATTTTTATTTTCATGCTTTCCTTTATAAGCCAAAAACAATTGCATTGGAATTAAGTTTTGATTTTGCAATAGTGATTAGATTGATCTCTCTCTCTCTCTCTCTCTCACGCTTGAGTATTGTGTCGTATAATAGCTAGGAGGAAATGTATGTAAATTTGTTTTTGATGGTGCAAAAAAGTGATTAAAGCTAATCACTCTATTGGCTCTCTAGGAGGAAAAGGCAATTAAATTAACTTTTGATCTTGCTAAAAGTGATTAGAGCTCTCTCTCTTACGCTTGTGTATGTGTGTTGTATATTTGGTAGGTTGATATATTTATGTTTACAATGTACAATACTTTCATGTTTTGTGTTATAGTTTTTGAAATAAAAGTAAAAACAAAAATAGTGCTATACCCGTATTATTTTAAGATGTTCATGATTGCAACATTATATTATATAAAAATAATCTTCTATTAATTATGGGAGTCGTTATTTTCATTCTATTTTATTTTAAATACACTCATATCTTTATCTTTATTATACGTAGTTATATCAATATCTTGGGAATTTTGTTTTTTTTAGGAAGAGTAATTTTGATATTTTTTTTCTTTTCAGGGGATATATTTCATATGAAAAAGTATTAATGTAATTATATATAATAAGGACAAAGAAAATGGTGTATTTAAAACAAAGTAGAGTGAGAATAATGACTCCCTTAAATATTCATCAAAACTAGTTAAATGTTGGAGGGATGTGCAGGGAGTGAATGAGATAGAGATACCAAAATCATTAATTTGAACAACGACGCCAAATCTGAAAATTTTAAAAATAAAAAGCAGACTAGTTAATCATAAATACTTTTGGGATCTTATAATTTTTATCATTTTGGTTTTAAAAAATGTAGACGTATATATTCTCTCATTTACTTTACTTTAGTGACATGATCATTTTTATTATAAAATGAAAATATATTACAAATAAAATCATTATTCATCAATATAAAGGGATCGTCACTCCATAGAGAGGTTAATGGATAATCATTTGATTCTATTTTATTTCATTTTCTTAAACTAAACAACTACATCAAAATATTCAATTGAATCCCTTGCCTTTCAAGTCTGGACTAACCCTAGGGTTAATAAAACACCGATTTGTTTCTCTTATTTTTAAGGCCTCGTTTGGCAAGCACTTGTTTTAGTTTAAAAGTCAAAAAGTTATTAAAAAAATTAAAAAACTTATAACATATACAAAAAAGTTAAAATTTCTCTTTTCTCTTTATTTTTTGCACAAAAAGTCATTCAAAAACATACTAGTTTTTTTTTTTATCTCATATTTTAACTAAAAAGTCAAAAAATTACTAAAATAACATATTCCCAAACGAGGCCTAAATATACTATGAAACATGCTGGTTAAATGCATGTATGTAATACATTATATGATGTTAATAAAGTATTAGGAGTGATTAATGATATATTATCACTTATTTGTTTGCAACCAAACATGATCAATGTGAAATCAGAAAATATGAGGTGAAGACGGGGACAATAATGTCGTTTTAGCAAAATAGACAATTAGACCAAACTTTCCTAGTCTAAAGAACCCTCTCCTTAAGTAATCCACGTGGTGTTACAACTAGGGCTTGTTTGGTTGCTGGAAATTGAATAAATATGGAAAACGTTTTTATAATTTGCCTTTTATGCTAATTCGTCTCTAACATTTTAATTGTATTAATCTTATTTTTAAATTTTTTACACTATATCAATTTAATCCAAACCAATTAAACTAGTTCAGTTCACCAGTGCCATACACTTTGATCTAGGTGGTTAGGGGATTAACTTAAATATAGATAATTTTATAGATATTTGTTGCATTGTTTGTTTCTCCTCAACTATAAGAATTTTTTTAAAATTAGTTTGGGCTAGTGGGGCCTCCTTCTTAAATTGGTTGGTTATTGGACTTTTATAATTGTTTGATTAGGATTGTGTGGATGTAAATTTATTTAAAAAAACAAAAACCTTTCACTAACCTTGAGGAGAGAAACTATATTATTTTTCCTAATTTTAGACTATTTTTTGTAAAGATGTAATTATGTTGGACTAAATTGACATAATACGAAAAATTGAAAAATAAAATTGACGTAACCAAACTCGATTGGTCAGAACTCTTACATCTTATTAGGAAGTTAGTAGTTCGAATTTATTCACTTATGCGTGATTTTATTCTCTATGTATTTATTGGAATTTTATCTTCTACTTTAAGAATTTCTTTATATTGATTATATGCTGTATTTGATTTTTATTATTATAATTATAATTTATTAAATTTTATTATAATATCCAAATGAATCAAATGAAATAAAAAATTTAACATAACACAAATTACAAGAATATAGGTGTAATTTGCTCATTTATTTTATTATTATTTGTTTATAGGTAGACTTCAAGGAAATGAGAGCGGTAGTTGGGCGGCAAAGTTTTCCTATTCTTCCCCTCTCTCACCTACTTCCATTGATGTCGTGTAATTCAATCTATGGTTTTTAAAAACTTCCAAGTTATATTCATATGGGAAGTATTTAGGTGCGTGAAGTATATATTATATGTATTTATGTAAATTCTTATAAATATATATAAGTTATTTAAAAAAATTGTGAGCATCTCCAATTTACTGGCATATAACATTTGTTAGTTAAAATATCTAGTGTGACTCACTTTTTTCAATTCCAATGCACTAGGTATATGATTAGGTATTTTAGCTCAACTCATTATCACTAGCTACATGTAGCTAGCCTTCAATCATTGGAATTATTTCCCTCCATCTTTGTTGTTGATGTGACATTCTATAAAATTAATAGTATTTGGATAAATAGCTAAAATAAAAAGCATGGTTGGAGTAAAAACATAAAACAGTTGATAGGTAAAATAAAATATATACTTTATAGTAATATTTAGATAGGTAAAATGCTTACTACCGTTAGAAATGCTTCTCACAAATATATGTAAGTTGTGTTTTTTTAAATTTTTATAAGTTGACTTATGTATGTTTGTAAAAATTTACGTAATTTTGTAAAATAACTTACATATATTTATAAAAATTTATATAAAAACATATAGTATATACTTGAACATGTAAAAATTGCCCTTTTCATATATACACGGTATACCTACAAGTACACACTTTCTAATGTCAAAAAGTGACTTGTGAAGAAAGAAGAAAACTCTTTAAGAGTTTTTTAGAATTTGTAATCAAGTCAATGTTTTTCTAGAATTATCTTCTTGAGGGTTGTTTTTCAATTGCAAGAAGATCACAAAAGCACCTTTTTAGATTTTAGGCTTTTATTTGCCTTATTTGATATACTATATATAAAATAAGGAAAAAGACTTAGACCCAGTGGGTGACCTCACCACCCCCACTATTTTTTGATCAAATTTTTTTTATTTTTTAATTTTTTTTTTTAAGGTCTGCTCTCACAACCCCCCCCCCTAGAAGTGGAGGTGGGGGTGGGGTCACCCACCAGGAGTCCCAGCATGGCTGATAAAACAAAATGGTAGTTGTTTTTAGGGTTGTTTGTGTAACATGTATGTGTAGGAAACCTCATGCAGGAAAGAGTCTGAACCTCATACATAAATCAAATTTATATAATAAAAAAGAAAAAAGAAGGAAAAAAGTTTGTTTGGAGGAGATTTTCTCCATCATGATTTAATTTTGTAATAATAATTTAATAATTTAAATTTAAATTTAAATTTAAATTTGTTATAATATATCTTTAGGTAATTGTATCTTCTTGGGACAAAAATTAGATCATAGCAGAAAATTTTAATGTTATGTTTGGATTGTAGATTTGATTAGAAATTTGGAAAAGAAAATGAAAAGGCAATAGAAATTGAATGAAATATTAACTAAATATTTTCCGCATTTCCCTCGCTTTTTATTTTCTCTTTCAAACTTCGTACTCAAATTCACGATCCAAACACAACTTTACTCTTCATGTATGTGACTTTTTATTTGGTTCTTAATACATATGGTGAGTTTGTGGGGGTCATACTATCCAAACTGAAATACACAAATGAATTAGATTTTCTTTCTTGATAAATAAAAAATATTAAAAGGTGAGAAACTGGTCAGTCTGATTAGAAGAGAATTGAAATTTAAGCCAGGTTGCAAATTAATAGGTTGATTCTGGCCAGTTTTGTAGATAAGCTAGCTGAAGAAGACAAATTGTATTACTAGTACTTCTATGAAGTTTATTTATAATATAACCAATAAAATATTCAAATTCAATTGCCTCTTAAATTAAGCACAAAACAGATTTGGGTTTGTGTATAATTAGGGACGTTTTGGTAACATAGTAAAAAGTTAGTTTTTTTGACTTTTTTGAGTCATATTTTTACACAAAAAAAGTTAAAAAGTCACACAAAAAAAAAAAAAAATCAAAAAATCAAATTTTTACCAACTTTCTATAACACCAATTAATATCACTAAGACCATGGATCAAGTTATCCCAACACTGCATTGGTCTCAAGAGAGAGTCAATAAAAATAAATGTTACTCAGAAAAAATGCTCAAAAATTGAATCTGCCCTTCACCTAAAATGAATTTGATTAACACATTTTATATTTTGAATATTTTTATGAGTAAGTGATATTAAAGGTTAATGAAAGGTTTGAAAGCACATCTTGATCTAAAAACACATGTCGATCAATAGCGGGAGGTTGAGGGCAGAGAGAGAGTGAAAACTTGTTTTGAAATTAGGGCAAATTATACTAACACCACCAGAAAATTGATTTGAAAACGAAACCAAACATCATGCTCCAACACACGGGTAGAAAATTGATTACAGAGCACAACCAAACAGAGCCTTAATTTTTTTTTTTCCTATTTTTTTAATTTTTACTAAATTTTTAAAATTTTTTAGATACACCTAATCTAGATATATTTAAGAAATATAATATTTTGTGATTTTTTTTTAAATTCACCAAATACAA